AGAATATCTCTTGCCCTTAAAGTCATGTGGGCAAAATTTTATGTACAATCAACTATTAAAGTTCCTGTTTCTGTAGTTATTTTTAGCCACCAAGGATTATCTTTTGCTCACTGAAGGAAGATTTTAGTAAGAATGTTCATTTAAAGCATAAAATTTTTGGAAAAAAAGCCTCTAAATTTCCGATGTAAAAAAGTTACAAAATTGCTTGACTGTTCCAATTTATTAAATACGTGTCATATGACATTATTTGAGAAGTGAGTCAGTGATGGGCTTTTGGAGCCTCACTTGTGAACTTTTTAACATGGATACTTCAATGTGGGCGGCGAGTCCATGGCCGTATCTAATATGGGTCGGATACTGACATTCCTTGGACACTCTATCATGATTATTTTTCCTTTTTATTTGAAATATTATATATTTTCGGGCGACGCCATTTATTTTCCTATCAAAAAAATGTTATATATTTTTTACTCAAAGTTATTAGTAAATAATAAATAAGTACTCATATTTAAAAGATTTCAATAAGAAAAATTAATAACAAATATAAAATTAAAATTATATTATATAAATGAAGAATTTTAAAGAATTTGATTAATGTGTCGGCTAGGTGCGGGTCAGTACTTTTTGAAAAAATCGCGTGTTGGCATATCCTACATGTATCTAGTCGGACACACGTTTTGGTGCATCATAGCTCGTGAAAGATTGTTGATTTTGCTGAGCTTACTTCTAATGTTGAGTACCCTTGCTATGTTTAGTGATAATTTAACTGAGATGATTGCTAATGATATACTGGATAGTTGCTCATGCTCTTTTTATAGCTTAATGTATATATGTATCTTGCATTAATTGAATTGGATTATTTAATAGTTCTTATTGCTTCTTGATGCAGGTGACATCTCCTGGAGGTAATACGGTCCATACTTTGAAAGGAACATCAGGGGACAAATTTGAGTTCAAGGCCCCCAGAAGTGGAATGTACAAATTCTGTTTCCATAATCCTTATTCTACACCAGAAACAGTCTCTTTCTACATTCATGTTGGTCATATTCCAAGTGAACATGACCTTGCCAAGGATGGTTTGTTTGATTTCTTGTATAATTTTTTTTCTAGTCATTTTATTGATTAATAAATCTACCTTCAACATCCAAACTGTTTTCCTTATTTTTTCCACTTTAAATTTAATTTAATTTATATTTTGGTGGTGTCTTTTTACAGAACATTTGGACCCCATCAACGTCAAAATTGCTGAATTGAGGGAGGCATTGGAGTCTGTTACAGCTGAGCAGAAGTACTTGAAAGCACGTGATGGTCGTCATCGTCACAGTAAGGCCTCCTTTCATTTTAAGTGTTGCCTGTTTTGATATGATGCAATATTCAATTTTCTAACATAATATTTGGTTGATTTGTCTTTGACTGTGTAGCGTGTGCTTACTTCTGATGTTCTGTGATATGCTTTGTGGTTGTAGAAGTTTGAAAGTTCTTAAGGCTTGATATTTAATGTTTGTCTAAGATACTATAGTTGAAAATCAAATGCCCATGGCCTCAAGCTTGAAATATAGAAAAGGATACTGACAAGCATATACATAAAACTACGCCATGCTGGAAGTTGTATTTTTAACGATGACATTCTTAGGTAGGAGGAGTTACTTAGTGATGGGAAAACGTACAAATGCAGTTTGAGCATTTAATAACATTACGCCTATTGTGAATCAATTGATTAGATCAACAATAATCTTTCAGGTTAAGATGATGCCATATATGTAAATAGTAGTGTTTCACTGTCGCTTGCTGGATTACTAGTTGCCAAATATTACTAATTTTGTCCAAAGCAGTGTTTGCTTGATACAGATGTGTTGTGTTTTGATTATTTTAATTGCAGAAAGAGTTGATTTAGGGAATCCAATTCTCACTATCTCCCCATTTACACTTTTGAAGATATAATTATGTCATGATAGAATAGAAGAAAATGGAAATCAAACCATTCATTCATAGGGATTTGCACTCAGTGCTATGTTTTTATGCCACCCTACCTATCCGACCCGTAATTATATATGGACGATTTTTTTATGAGGAGATTTCGTGTCTCAAGGGTGGCAGGGATGGACAGCTCTTATCTTCCTCCATTTCCCAACTTTCAA